TCATTATGTACTCGTTGAACTCCCAGCCCCGTGACATCACACATTGACCATAGGTTTCTCTCATGTTTCCCAAACAGGCAGGAAATGAACCTCTTGGCAGACAGCGGTGTTCGCAAGTCTCCAAAGACAGCGCCATTCAGACCACTGTTTATCTCCGTGTCCGAGTTGGCAACTCTTGACATGGAAAAAACCTCGTTTTTGTCAGGGTTGATACCCCGCCTTCCATCGGTCTAGAAGTAACGATCCAGTATGGATCTGGAAGGAGACAAGACATTTAGGTGGTCAAGCCAAGACGGCCAAGCTTTCTAGATAAGCACAAGTCTTCCCCGCCGGAAACCGAATGTAACGCTGCGGAACATGTTGATGGAAATGGAAACCCCAATCGTTAACATCAAAATCAAATACCAAGACAGCGTGCAGGCAAAGATCTTTTTGAGGCTCAGCAATGCGCCAGGAAATGTTGATAGCTTCCACAACGCCGTTGGATCTAAATCTTCATATGGCTGGTAGGGGTTCGGACTTGGAGACCTCAGACCTTCATTACAGCGACGACTTTTCTACTTCGATACTAGAATTCTAGTATTCTTGTGCTTATTATATCAATTATAAACCAATGATTGATAATGAATGTGTATTCTACGACACAAAGTGATGAGTTTCTGGTCTAGAACTGCGCAAGTGTCGTGGACCGATTGGACAGACCCAGTAGAGGACACAAGTTTCTCCCGACTCACACACTGAATTCGGAGCTCGCAGTACTTAGCAAGCAGTGCAATTTACCTGGCGGGCATTAATAAAAGGCCATAATTTAGCACCAGGCAGCAAGCTACAGATGATCGGGCTACAAGTTGAGTCAGCTCTTTTCAAAAAACATCAAAGGTCATCATCTCCTCAGATCTAAGGTGACTCTTAATTGATATGTAACGTCCGAGTGCAGCTCATGGCTCGAAACTTAGGAAGAGATAAAGAACAAAACAACACTATGCTGCTAATCATTTTCTGATGACCTCATAGAGTAACCTCGCTGAATGGAATAGTGAGACGATAGTATTCCTAGAGTACCAGTGATCACATGGAATACAATTGAGAAGAATGTACGTATTATACACAAACCACGCTTAGAGATCATGTCTCTAGCGCGCCCGACGTTCCAAACCTTCTTACAAATAGTTTAATGAGACGGGTCAAAGTTCAGCTCACAGCCTATGTAGGTTTAATGAAAGAGTGCTAGAAAGCAGAACAAATCTAGTCTAGGCCCGGTTCTGGAAAGCTGGCCTTGAAATGCCAAGCCTAGTCTTCATTCCACAAATAGTTTCACATCCTCATTTTCTCAACAGATATCCTCTTTGACTTAAGTAAGTTCTATGGCGACCTCGTCAGGTCGCCACCAAATGTCGAGCGGGCGTCCGCGTCGCAAACGCTGTTGCAGATGGGTCATTCCAGTCTTTCTGGACCCTGAAAACCAGCACTCCAGATGCTGCTTCTTTTCTAGAAGCACTGGCCACATTCCATACCGACCACAGCGTTTCAGAGCTGATTTTGAGATGTCGCCCGAAGTCGAATGTGGAAGTTTGACTATGATGGGATGAAATCCCAAATGTTTGGGAAATTTCTAAATCTGATATCCAATGGGCAAGCAGCCTCGGACCAATACTACAACGGCTTTCCCCGAGAATATCACACATGATGGGATGATCATCAGCCCTGGGAGAGCGGCACTGGGGAGACAAAGTCCGAGACCGAGCTCAGCAAATGTGGATTTGAATCGAAATTCGTTAGTCAACGAAGCTAACTTTGCAGTCGTGAACGACTCATGTGGCTGTTCGCTTATTTGATTGATGTATCTTTAACTTTAGTTTCACAAAAGTGTGTACATCTGTCGTGCAGGCTCTGTCATAATTCGTCCGCAAGCCACCTAATCACACGGAGCGACTCCATTACGCCCTGGTGCCTCTGGCTTACTTCCCGCAGTGCATAGTCCCCCATCATAGCCATCGGAGAAAAGGCCCCTGACGCTTCCGAGCACCCGTCTATATCCTGGCTTATCCCATCTTGGAAGTCAAAGTTGTATGATGTAGCTGAAGCCGAGAATCCCTGACCTCGAGACTGGCTAACGGCAGGTGGTGTCATGGAAACGGAGTTGAAGCGGCATTCCGTAGATTTGTGTAGTCTCTTCATCATTCGAGACAACAAGAATACGACCGAGTTGACGTCCAAGTCAAAAGAGCTCACAACGTTAAATTTGTTGAGGTTTCCGTTGGGTGTGTTGCTGCCCAAAAATGGTTGTGCCAGGCTGAAGTCACTGCCGGGACTCGGGCCCTGGCTCTGCCGTGAACATTGAAGACGGCCCCTCAGAGCGCCGAGGAGTTCTTCGTAAGAATCCAGGAGAAGAAGATAATTTGTCATAAAAAGAGAGATAACGAGAGTCAGGTTTGGTGGTTGGTGTAGATGTTGTACTGGCTCTTTCGGAAGCTGTGGTACTACTTGTGTGGCGAAGCCGGAAGTGTCGGGTGCTCCGGTCCAGCAGGATGGCGGTGAAGTAGATCGTCGTCCTTCCACGCTCGGCCTCACTAGTGGCAAGCTTTCCACGACATCAATGAGAGTTTCTGTCGAGTGCACGGTCGTGTTGATCAGTGTCGTAAGCCCGTCTGCGTCCTGTGCTCTGGTGATGTGCCGTGAGAACAGCAGAGACTGAAGATCCATGAGCCGCTGTGCTGCCGACTCGGATGATCGTGAAGTTGCTTCTGGTGATGAAGGCATAGTATCGCCGGCAAAGGATTCGGCGTGACTGAACTCGGATGGGTGGTCACATCCTGGAATCCAGCTATCTTCTGTGTTGGTAGGTAAAGAGCCAATCGTTGTTGGGGGTGTAAGTGGCAGGTCGTGAGGTTGTGCTACAAGACTTTCATCTTGATGAGCCAAGAACCCTAGCGTGTCCGTATCCATCCACTCCGTGGGCATCAGCTTCGTGTCATTGCTTTGTAGGAGTCCGAGTAAAGGGTCCTCGAAGTTGCCAGTCCAAGTTCCATCTTCCTCCGGATGGCTCGGTATAATTCCTATCCCATATTGTTGGAAGTCGCTCGCATCGTGGACGTTGGATGGAAGCACTTCGGGCGGGCTTGTGATTGTTTGAACAGTGGTGTTGCTCGACATTGTCGAGGATCGTCGGAATGTGGTTGAAGGGGTTGACTGCGCAGGTTCCGGGTTCAAGCGCTTCTTTGCCGGTCTTCCCATGCGCCGCGGAGGGCTATAGAAACAGTCGATCTGGAGTCGTTGACATCTTTCGCACTTGGCCGCTCCAGTTTCTCTGGAGCAACGGCTCTTGAGAGCACGGCAGCGATCGCAGGCACTTCTTTGAGAGAACAGCATGTTGGCAAAGCGTTCATGTAGATGCACGACAAGGTCGAAGGGACGAGTTCAACTCAGAAGCGCCAGGTGACAACGGCCGAAGTTTATATGACTTCGTTCCCGCGACTTGCGTACTACTCAAAATAAGTCAATTTTGCCAAGACATTCTCTTAGCCGCGCCAAGTTACCTGCGCCGTTCGACTCATGTCAGGGTTCTGGCGTCTTGCGCGGGGCGCGGGGGACACGTCAGATCTAGATGAGATGTCTCGGTTGAACCTACCCTCCCTCTTTGGGGACTAACCATCATGCGCATTGTCGATTTCTTATTTTAAGGTTTCAGGGAAACTTCCCACGTATGACATTGTCGATTCAGTACTTTGGTACCAGTATGGCTGTCAAGACTGCGAATTCGACTTGGCAGAGACATTGGCTTTACCGCAACTCTGGAAAAGGTGCCAATCATTCGATAAGTGGGTGGTGTGCAGGTTAACCTGCTGAGTGGGATCGCGTTCCCCTTAGCTCGACTTCAAAGTTCTGACGAGTTCCCAGGGCTCTGCAACCTCGGCGAATGCTATGCAAACTCTCTTTGGAATTGGGGTCCACCACCTCGCAGTGGTGTGTAACAAAGGTGGTGTGGCCCGGTGAGGCGTTCTAATCAGATCAGAAAAAGCTTCCTATGATTGCCTGGTAATTACCGAACTTTCGACGCTCCTCGCGCCATCATGTCATGTTTTGTTACCTATCTCGCCAAAGGCACGGTGTATCATCAGTCAGGTGTTGTTTGGTGACAGCTTCATGGCTTCCCGTCTTCTAAAAACAACCCAGCGCCAAGGCCAAAGCCCCTCCTGTGGGGTCCCTATTTGGGGATCGACTTGGCCAAGAGATTGATAGTGGTTTGGTATAGGAAGAGGTGAAGACTGCATGTGTGTGCATAGCATACTCCGTACTTGGTCAACAAAAGACAGCGAGTCCAAAACGCCCGACCTATTTGGACGCCTCAACTATTCGTACGGTAGGTAGTCTTGGCGGGTTTGAGCTGCTCGAGTCGGCACCTTTGGCCTGTGTGCCCCGCCAAATTGTTGGCCCTGTCCTGTTGCGAGCAAGTAAAATAGGGTTTCTATTTACCCGACTGTCATATTCCCATTAATTCCAGGGATGGTTACCCATGACTGGGCCCAGCCTTGAGCCCGGCGAGCCGCCGTACGTGCTCGACGGCTGCTAGTGTCCGCGGGCGCGGGCAGCGGGCTTCTCCTGCCGCTTGATCGGCGCTTGCAGCACGTGAATCTTTGTCTGTAGGCTGTGGCTAGAATAAGTGACGTTGAAGCATGGCTGGGGCTCTTGGCGGCGAGAGTAAAATAGATTGCTCAAGAAACAACCAAGTGTTCCCCCCTTGGCATTAGGAAAGGGAAACGCGCCTGAGGTAACCTTGAGGGGTTCGCGTCTATCTGTACGGAGTACGAATCCATGATCAAGCTCTCTCCCATCGGGAAACAGCCATAATGTTGCGTTGCGTTGCGTTCAGTGTGTATCCGTATACACACTGATAATGGTGGATTCCGCTTGCGGACTTGTGAAATAGTACTTATTGCGAATTTGGTCTCGGGCATATCGAAAGCGGCAAAAGCCAGCATCAGAAGCTGTGGGACGACAAGATGAACTCGCAGATCGCGCGAACTCTATCATTGGACTCTCTCGTTTTCGCCAGCGAAGTGTGAACCTGTGAAGCACGGTCCAGTGCTTCCAATCTCACGCTGCGGGCGTGCCGTTGCTCCTTGAGTCAAGCCCAGCGATGTTGTGTCCTTAACTGAAGTCGACCAGCGAGACGGCCCGAGCGCATTGGGCAGCCCAATTTTACCTTTACTCCCGCGGAACACCTCTCAGGTTTGTTTCAGCTTGCCTTGCGGTACCATTTCTAACTAAGTATGGACTTGGGTACGACCGATGAGGCCTAGGAACGAGTCGTTAGGGGTCCCTTTTCAAGGGTAACCACTATTAAAGGGGCCTCTTAACGGGGTTACATATGGCCGCATCGCACAAACCATGCTATGCTTGAATTTCGTAGTTCCTCCTATCCCCGATGGATATGCGTGCTATGGCAGAATGCTGTGCGCCAGCGTATCCGTATACCAGATGAGCTCATTGGGTAGCCGTAGCCATGCGTATCATCGAAATACTGTATTCGCACCTGATTGCTTTCAAGATAGGATAGAATGATGGACTAGGCTCGCAACAGCCACGTTACTTTGAGTACATGCGCGACGTCTCCGGACAACCCGAGGTTCAGAGCTCCGGTAGCGCAAGGCGGTGGCACCGTGAGCGATCTGCAATCAATCATGTTATACCCTCGCAAGATGTGGGCTAGGTGTAGCTTAGCTTTACCTAGACACTTTGACCAGTCAACACGGAATCAGACACTTGATTAAACGCCCTGTTTTTCTGCCATGGCACACGCTCGCTAAATGTTGAATCTCTATCGCTGTTCGTCGCATGATTCGGAAGCATCTGCGAAACCCGAGCCCTTTTAGTCTCGCAAGCTTCGTCCTTTCGTCTTTAATTGACGCGTCAGTCATAATTCGGGTGGTTCCTTCAGGTGAACTTAGATACATCGGACCGGAGAACGCCGTAATATTGTTCCCTATTGCGAAGCTTGTGATTCTTTCAGTCGCCACGGGGGGGACGACTGAAGCCTCATTTTCTCTCCTCAGGACCAGCAACATCCCGTCGGCTCCGAGTGCGAGTGATCCATTAGGCTCAACTCTAAACCCAAGGATTCTTGATGAGCAAGCGGGCCGCTATCGAACCACCTCGACCCCGTCGGAACGATTAATCAAGCGACGTATTTTCGTATAGGTAAGTAGTCCGTAGTCATTATCTCGATACTACTAACGTGTATGATCAACTTTCAAGACCTCTGCACTCTTTTCTAAGCAAGGAACTTTTGATAGAGCTTGATAACGGCGCTCAACACTAGCAAGGGCCACCATAAGAATGTCCAATCTTAGAAACGTCAGTGCCCATGAACCTGAGCCTCGGGCTCTCGGCAGTTATCCACGGGCTCGAGTCATTCTCTCTTTTCCTCACCTGCTGACTGCCTAATTCTTTTTTGGCCGAATGTCTTTCCACCCCATACCCCACGCGAAGCAGAATGATGCTATAGCCAGACCGAGGGATGGATAAACTCCTTGTCGATACTCGATACACATGCCAAAAACACTCCTGGCAGTTTTTCCTCGGGCACGACTTTACGGAACCCGGTTGCCCCGGCCTCAAGAATTTTCGACGTATCGAGATTCGGCGCGAATTTAGGTAGGTCTTGCTTCAGTGCCCCTGTAAAAATGGCGTTACTTACTGCCAGGGCCACAGCTGAACCCATGAACTGAGAAAACGTAATAAATGATATTCCTACTGAAATCTGTTCCGGAGGTAAGTTCGCCTGAATAGCACTGCTTGGCTTAAAGTCATTCTGTTAGTCGGGCTTGCGGTCAGTGACCGCTGCATGTGGCAAGCGGGTCTCACCGGTTGTAAAACAATGCCTCGTCCACCACCCGTGATGATTTGATAACCAACCCACTGGGCCACCGAAGTCGTCGGTGTGAGCGATGTGAACAAGCCACTAGCAATAATCGTTGCCGCTGTGCCTGCGACAGCCCACGGCAGATAATACCCGAACTTACCGACTTGAAGGGTGACAAGGACGTTAGCTAAACTCAAATTATATATGGAATAATTCCATAGGCTTCCGTACCTAGCACGCCTACGCCGTAGGCGAAAGCTAGCTGTGACAAGATGCTTGGCAAAACGTTGATCCCGCTCTGGACCGGCGTGGCGCCTTGTACTGCCTGGAAGTAGAGCGGGAGCAGGTAGATCTGAATCATCGCCGAGCCAACAAAGGTGAAGTTTGTAGCGGCTGCGGACCAGACGGGCCTCTTACCGGCCATTGATGATGGGATGAGCCCGTCATCTCTTTTACGATAGTTCCAGGCTAAGAATGTTACGAGAGCCACAGCAGAGCCGCAGAACAATTCTATTATCGTGGGGCTGTTGAAAGCATATTCGTTCCCACCAAGCTCGAGGGCCGTGAGAAATGACACTGCAGCACCAGCGAATAGCAAAAAGCCGGTAAAATCTAGATACGTGTGCAATTTCGCAATGACCGCCATAGGACTCGGTTTCGGCACCTGATCGGGAATCTCGCACCATGCCAGAAACAGAAGGACGACGCTGCCAATCGGGAGGTTGATGTAGAATGCTATTTGAGTTTAGCAGGTACTCCGTAATACTTAGAGTCGTCTCAACTCGGATGAACTCCATATCTTACTCCAACGCCAATTGGCATAGTCGGTCAGTACTCCGCCAAGAACAGCTATGTGTTAACGTTAGTATTTTTGGCGAGACTTTCTCCTTTCTAGGGTGGTTTTCTGCACGTACGACCGCAAACGCTGCCAGAGTTTGCAACTTTAGTTTGACGTTAGCTACTGCTCTGAGGGTCAATAGCCTATACGTACGTCCGATGACCAGTCCCATAAGAGCTATTAGACAACTTGAATTAGCCAAGCATTTGTCAGACAAAACTCGCAAGGATTGATCTAACCAGGTCTTTTTTCTAGAGGTACTGATCCGGCGATGATCGTCAGGCCACCACTCATCATGCCCGCACTTCCTATCCCCGCGATGACTCTGCCCATGATCAATATCAGGGACGAAGGCGTAGCCCCGCATACAAGAGATCCAATCTCGAACAAGACTGGGAAGTCGAAAAAAGACCACTGCATGGATTAGATTGGATTTGGAGACATATTCACTAAGAGCCGGGAAAGCCGCACCTTTGAGCTGAAGTACCGGTAGATTTTACCTGTGAGCGGCTGGAAAGCGGCATTAGAAACGTGATGGGCACTGCCATACCAACCGATATCTTGCAAAGAATGAAACTCGTCAGTTATCGCTGGAATAGCCTACAATGCTATTAGCAAATAACATGCTTCACTTATTTTCGGGGTGCTCTAACGGGAACAATGATAGAACTGTCAAGGAACATCAACCAGGCAACAACAATTACACATATGATGACAATCCAAAGCTTGTCACCTGATAAGTACTTTGGTATCGGTGTCACTGGTATATCATTGTTCGGACCTTTGCCCTTCTCTTGGTCGTTCTCCGTGCTTGGACCGGCCTCCTTTTCTGTGATCGTTGTTCCTGGACTATGTTTCTCGTTCTCGGTGACAGACGGGAACATCTCTGTGGACATGAGACTGATGTCTATTGATAGCAGCTGTGTCTCCGTCGTTGTCACAATGCTCCTTCTTCTTCGTGTGGATATGGGGGCAGACTCGGGCTCTGTGTTCCGATCCATCTTGTGGCTATTCGAGGATGATTATTGGCAGGAATAGGGGCCTTCAATCGATGGGACTTTTTGTATCCCCTCTAAAATTGGGACTTGGACTTGGCAAAGAAAGCTTTTCACAATTTGCATCGCCCGGAATGGGACGCAACAACCGTAATATCCGACGGGAATGATTATCAGTTCCGAAAAAGCTCCATTTAAGAAGCTTCCTTCAAGGCTTACAGGCTGGCCAGTCGTAGTAAACACGGGGAATCCCCGACCGAATAAAGTTCATTTCATGGAAAAGATCCCTCGAAAGTAAGCACACAAGGCTTTGGACTGCGCTGTAGGGGGCGGCTTTTTTGTCGCAGACAAGTCGAGCATAGACACTCACGACTCATGAGACGCATGGGTGATGCTGCTTGACATTTTCATCTGTGTTTAGGAGAAAGCTTATTGTCTTTAGCCAGCGAATCAGTCGCTGCCGCGGAGCACGCAGGCTTAGAAGTGGCCCAGGCTCAACATCAAGCTTCATTCTACTCCCTTCTCTCTTATTAGTGCTGCAACCTTGAGTCGGCCGAACAGACCCCCACAAGCCGGAGGTTCTTTTGGAGCATTACAATGGGTCACGGATCCGGAGAGACCTGAGAGACGGAGTAGCCCGGTGGCCGGGCAGCTCGCAACTAATTTGAGTGTCCCCGGGAGATGACTAACACTTTAGATGCGTCCTGGGGCCCAAGCAGTGCATGATGAGGATACAGAGAAACATGCCTCCAGTTTCCAGCCAATCAAGTCAACTTAAGTTGGCAAGCATCGTTGCGAATCTTGAACTGCACTCAACAGCAAATTTGTTCACCTGATAGCCTGGATGGTTGTAGAAAAGGTTGAGCGGTTTTTAAAAGTGCTGGAGAACAGGGAGTGTCGAACTGCCGAACATGGTTTGATACAATTGCTCGATATTAGCCAAGACCTCCAAGCTTCCTACACCACCATGTACCTGAAACCACTGCAGAATTTGCTGCTCTTGGGTTCGAATTACGCTCGACGCTCGGTGAATACTAGGAATTTTTGCTCGCCGAGGGGATCACTCAAGGTGGAACTGGTCGGCTTAGTGGTTTTGATCTATTGTGCAAAGCCATCAGCGAAGTTTCCCCCTCTTGATTGTAGGGTGTGCGAGTTCGCAACGTCGCGTATGGGTCCTGTCCTTAAAATAGCTGCACCAGCCGCACAGCCAACCGCGCTCTCAGATAGCACGCGACCCTTTGCCAAATCGGTACAACCAACCAACAAAAGAGCTAGCCCCCAGTTGACATGTTTGAGATGTATTAGATCTTGGCAGCATACGATTAAGCATGAATCTTTACCCTGGAGCGTTCCCGACGTAGGACGATCATGGCCGATCATCAGGAGTAATCCAGGCCTCATACAGCCACACCTTCAATGTGATCCACTGATGAACACCTTGATGGTTTATTCCTTTGAGCTATACTAGGTTATCATCAGTATCTCATCGTTGTCTTCCCATAATTAGAACTTCTGGAGATGGGTTTGATGTCTGCACAGCAACAATAGCCGGAATGAAGGGGGCCTCGAACCACAACCAAGTTGAGGAGTAATCACCGCGGAATTGATGAACGGCATACCGTGGGATGATATTCTGAGAGACGGTGCCACTTCTACCCGCAGTCCACTGTTCGGGAAGCCAAATTTAGAATCAGATGACTCTACCTTATCTACCTCTAAGACGGGATGACAAGCTCCCCCGTCATCAAGTAATCAATCGAGACGTTCTCTTGTTTGACGAACTCCCCCTCCACCTTTGGCACATACCCCGGAAAGCTATCCGCAATTTGGCTCAACGTCCCCCATGAAGCCTGCCCATTAATGTCATACGTCTGAGAGCTGTTGAAGCCGCTAGTGTTGAGGTTGTAGTGCAGCATCGGGAACTCCTCGAAGCTTGCGTTGGCATTGACGTGAGCAACGCGAGATCCGAACGGGTCTATCACGAAAGTCGCGCCGATAGCTGCGACAAAGGAGTAGGCACCGCTGAGAACAGAGTAGACGCTCAGGGTGCCGGTATTGACCCATTCGTTCTCCCACCAAAGCGAAGTCTCGTCTCCGACGCCGGCCAGATAGGGGAAAGGCGCGAAGTGAACATTTTCTCGCTGGACGTACATGTTAAACGTCATACTGGGGTACATATGCCTAGATTGAAAGTGGTATGGTCAGCTCCGGCACTCGTAGGAGCAAGGCGCAGTCAGTCGGGTCAGGTGGGCTTTGTAGACGTACTCTCCGCACTCCAGCATTCCCCATCGGCCGTAGTCAGTCTCTAAGACTTTGAGATCCTCGGCCACACCGTCACTGAAGAAGTATCGTTCTGCGCCTGACGGCCGAAGCTTACGGCGGTGGTGCATGATATTTCCTTGAGGGTCTATCAATGCCTGAGACATGTACATGTAGTCGCCGTCAACTTCTGCAAAGTTAAGGTTGGCGTAGATGCCCACTGCCTGGATCGCGGCAATCAGGCGGTTCCACTGCGCATCGCCAATCACGATGGCATTCTCAATGTACGACGGAAGGTAATCGCGCGTGAAGTTGTAGTGGCTGTCCGAACCCTTGGGGAATCTATTCGAGATGGTTCAGATACTTGCATTCGATGTTTAGATGGTTGAGCCTTAGGCTGAGTTGGGACTTACCCGGGGAACCAAAGCTCTGGAAAGACGACGACATCGGAACCGCTAGCCTTGGCCTCTTTGATCAACTCGATTCCGACATCTACACATTCGCTGATGTTGAAAGTGATGTCGGTGTAGTCGTAGTTCGTGAGAGGCAGCGGCCAGTTCGGCGGAGGCGTACGGATTAACGCGATTGTCAAGTTTGATCGATCCACGGTGCTGCTATTTGAAGTCGGAGCAGCAATCGCCGAGCCAAGGGCCGAGAGTGCCAAGATATAGCGGGAAAACTTCATTATGTTGGGTCTCTTCCGAAGTTAGAGTCGACCAGTTGGGTTGACAATGGTGTAGTCTGGGTGAACAGAAAAATGCGGCGTAGTCCATTATCCTCGTCGACTTATATGACAACTCAACCTGCCTTCAACTCGAGCTGCCCTGCATCATCATGGCCTTATTGATGCCTTCATACGTAATACAATCAATCGGTCTTGATTAATGATATTCATGATAAGCAAGTTGAGGACCCTGAAAGTGAGCTCATTATCCCACTATCGTACATCACCCGCTCGGTGAATGGCATCAAGATAGCCCAGAGATGGGCCACTTGGGCCACTTGCCAAGTTTACAACGATGGAAGATTGTGGCTCGATATTGAAGAAATCCCTATCATGATTAGTTTAATCATGATAATCTATGATAAGGCTGTACACATCTACCGACTGCAGTGCCGATGGCTCACGGGGGTCCGTTGTGTGGATCTCGGGGTTTGCTCCGGCGTCGCTGCTCGGAAGAGATCCACTAGCGTCTGGTTTTCGGTGATTGAGAATAGTCGGACCGGATTACAAGTGACCCTCACTAGTACGGCGCACACTCCCTTGGCTCCGAAGATCGCTGATAAGGATGCTGTAGATTTTCATCGGCTTGGTAGGTAAGGCGAGGGCCATCTGCTCAGCTGGCCCACATTAGGCTGTAAAGATCAGCTCGAGTTCCAAGTCGGTGTTTGAAGCAATCAGAATGGCGGTCAGGTATCCATTAAGAGTTACATAATTCGAAGGTGAAATCGTCCGCTCAAACTTATCGGAACTATTTTGAAGCCGTGATAGTGGTGCTGTTGCTGTCTTGAAAACTATAGCAAACAGGTAGGATCCCGTCGATCATCGTTGACATGAGAGTTATACTTCGAGGCCCGGCTTAATTCCCATTAAGCATGGGTTTGATTAGCTACGGTTAAAGCGAGAATTCGAGCGAGTGCTACTACAGAAGTTGAGTAGCCGTGCAGAGGGAAGTGTACTACATAAATAAAACAAGTAAAGTGACTGGTCGGGTGAGTACAGCATAATGATCGTGAATGAACCCGTCGCTACTCATCTCTCCCATATGTTTCTCTGCCCACCTTTGAATTGAGAAACTTGTTCCTGCCAACAGTCCTCGATTAGCATAAAAGAGGGATCAGCGGGGTTTAGTTCACGCATATAGGCATACCTCTTATCCGCCCAGTACATCACGTACCAGGCCGCAGCCAGAGATGGCCCAAAATACCAGACCTGGCTCGCGAAGCGTCGCCATATATTGAAGACAGCATTATGACCAGCCTGGGCCATAGGATTTAGACGGTTTGTTGCGATTCCGTACGTGATAATACCTCTTTGCTTCTCGCCACCTGAGACACATTGTTGATCAATCATCACGAACCCCTGCGTACCTTACTTGGTTGGGTATGAACGATGAGTTGTAAACCGAGAACGCATACCGATGTTTCCCCACCATCCTTTGTATCTGATTGAAAATTATTTAGCTAACGTGATTATGATAAATCTCTTCCATATTGGTCCATAGCATATCAAAGAGCCGTTGGCACTTTTGAGAGGCTAAAAGGGGTTTCACTCACACACCATATTGTCCAATTGGGACATGTGGGCCGTTTCGCAGGGACTGAGTTGACTTCATTGTGCAGAGAGCAGAGTTAGAACCGGAGAGTCATGATATCCTGCAGTAGCTGGTGCTTCGAGATAGTGTCAAACTTGACGAGATTCGCTATTGTCGAACCCGTCCCCCCTACCTTTATGTGCAACAGCGCTGGGGAGCAGTCTTCGGACTCACGGTTCGGACTCACGGTTCGGACTCGGCCTAAGAATTCCGTGCCCTTTTCTTCAAAGATGGTTGAAAATAAGTGTGACATAACCTCCGAGGCCTCGAATAACGAATAGAGTTTCTGAATCATTCATCACTATGCCCTTGACCTCCCACGACGATAGAACGGCCGGATGACTTGGAACGTCACCAATTGAACATAACATTACTTAACTTCAACACCGTTCTACTACCTAATAAACAATCTCCAATAGCCTTAGCTGTGTGGCATTGGCATGAATCCACCCCAGTCAAGGGACGGTAAGTCGCTTGCCCAGAAAGCTCCGATATCCTCCAAATAATTATCACACTCTGCATTTTGAACAGCGCTAGCGGGCTCAAAGGTTGTTCCCCCAGTCATATCCGATAGCAACGTCTTCGCGTCCGCGATTGCCTCCTTACATCGCTCTGTCATCTCATCCTCGACGGGTTTGCCTTTCAAGACAGCTTCTGTTGCAGCAAGCACTATTGCAAAGAACACATAATCTTTCACATTCTCTTGCCCTGCCTCGATTCTCCGTCTAGCCCATGCAACACCAGCCTTCAGTAGCCAACGCTCTTCCACGACACGTAGAGCCGACCCTGTCGCTATTTTGCCTCTTTCTGATATCATGGTGTTGAGATCTGCCGCGATCACACTGATAGCAATATGCTGTGCCGACCGCAAGGATCCCGAGCCGCAAACTATCAATCGGCCAAATTCGGGACAGTAGTCTTCGTCATTTGCTTGCTGCAGAAGCTCCGAGAGTGATTCGTTCGTGTCGGATACTGGCATAGTCCTGTATGTAAGATGCAGCGCAGCATCTATGCACTCGCGTCGTGAGTGGGAAAAGACAGAATCAGGTAGAAGCATGTAAGGCAAATGCAGCGCAAAGACGTATCGCATAAGTACCATCTCGCACATATGACAAGTCAATAGCGAGGTATTCTTGCCCAAGTTCTTGAGCGTAGTTGTCAAAATCTGGCGGGTGGCAGTAAGCTGCAGACCAAGCTGTAGGACTGTGGCGTAGTTCGCCTCCTGCTTGACCTTGTTCCACAATTTAGCGATTGTCAGTCTCAACGTCAGGGACTGACCGAGAGCAATTTGCAGAGAGCTGTCGGTGTGAAGACTGGGGTTCTTCGGAATGGGACGGACTGTAGACTCGCAGTGCAGCTGGTCGTCGTTCAGATTTGAGGGTAAGCTACAGTCAAAGTCCTCGGATGAGATGAGAACGGGCTGGCCAGACTCTATGCTTGCTTCCAGAACCAGCTCTAACACAGTAGTCCAGAGACGGCGTCGAATCTCGATCTGAAAAGGTAACATCCGCGGCAGCCCAATCGGATCTCGGTGCAACCCGATGCATATCGCAGACCGAAGAAGGTTGCCTGAGAGAGCTGAGATCCGGTCCCCATAGAGTGACTCTGTCGTCTGTTGAGCCAGCTGCAAGAGACACATGATCTGAATGCCCGAGATACTTGGCTGTGATTTCTCAGCGTTGGTAAGCCAAGATTGGGTCTCGTATATCCATTGAAGAGCGTACGGTCGAAGAGAGAACAGATCATCGTATGTTAGAGCTCCAAGTGCAAAGCAAAGCTGAAGTCTAACGATGCATTCGTGGTTGACCGAAGCGCGATCTTGTAGAAATGTCTCGAGTTCTCTCTACAGCGTCGGCACATGATTAATCCGATAGATCTGCTCAAAGCTCCGTAGGTAATTCTGAAGTAACGCGGCTGACACGGCGTGATCGAGTATGTAGGAGCCATATTGCCCGGGAGAGTTTGCGAGTATTCTCCGTGTTCTGAGGGATTCTCCCAGACTTTTGCAGTGTATGAGGCCTTGCCAACACTCTTCCTGCTTGACCATTTCCTTGTCCAGCCACTTCAGCGCAGGCAACATCTGTAAAGCCGGTGAGTGGACGGTGCCTTGCATGTCAACGCGACAAACTGCTATGACTTACTAGCATCACTGAGTACAGCCAGTGACTTGGTGAAATATATCGTGATTTAACAATCATTATAGTCGGTAAAGATGTAAGCTCGGTGAGTGAGCAGATAGTAGGTGACTTCTCGGCTGGATAGAGTGGCTCTGGTGCTGGTCGGCGCGTAGAAGTTCCAGTCATCGCGAGAGGGAAAACAGTCCCCGGAGTCGAGATCTGACTGAGCAAGACGCTTCCGAATGAAGACGAGTGCCATGTTCCATCGGTGCTGCTGGTGAAGACCCGGTCTCGGTCCGCGGGCTGTGGTGTTTGGGCTAACATTCCATGTTCCGGGTCGGACTGGCGCTGTTGGATGTTTGACAGACTACCCTGTCGGTAGTTGATATGGTTTTCCGGACTGGCAAGAGGAGCATTGGCAGGATAGACACATGTCCGATTCTTCGCCCGTTGACATTTGCTACAAGGGCGATTGTGGTCACACCGCAGCTTTCGTTTCCGGCACTCGATACAGGCAAGGGCCCTTCGACGTCGTACCCTAGTCTCTTCATGGTGACGGGCGTCCATTGCGTCAGACCTTTCTGGGTATAATGAATCGAGAGATAGATCTAGACAGAAGGCAAAGAATCGGAGTTGTCAGGTCGATTGATGGACTTGAGCTATCGTGACGGGATCATGTTCGGGCGCGGGGTCGGGCTCGGGGTCGGACTATGCTTCGGGGTCGGGCTTGGATCAAGAGGTCTGTGTGGAGCCTAATGACAAAGGGAGTGCGTGTATTCAGACAATGGCTTTTGAGAAATGGTAGTGGATCTATTTTAGCTATCGGTATCTTTATGAGCTCGTTCGCTTGATGTTTAGAAATGTCCCATGTCAGTTCCCGGACCATTGCACTACTTGCATCGCTAGTTTTCATGGATGATTGACTGCCGCGTCAACATCGACTTGGGGCGTGCCTCATTCTCTTTCTCCATCGTGCCTCCTTATCAAGAGTCAACGCATTGTGGCGTTATAACTGCATGTGAAAATTTACTTCAACAAGCTCTCAAGTTGTCTACAAATTGCATTGCCGACTTCAACTGTTGTTGCACTCCCGCCCAGGTCACTGAAGAAACCAGTCAGACGTGCGCAAAACAATGAGCAGCGAGTGAAACTTACGGGGTCCGTATCTCGTGTCCTCCAATATCCCTGGAGTCCAAGACCTTTCCGACTGCTTTATCAATGGCCTTTGCCTCATCAACCATTCCAAATGAGTACCTGAGCATCATTGCCGCTGCAAGAATAGTGGCAACTGGGTTGGCGATCCCTGCACACGAAAAGTATCAGCCTTTGATCGTTTGACCTCTCTGGTGTGACTGGGACAAGGCTCTATTATTACCCTTGCCAGCAATATCGGGCGCGCTTCCGTGGATAGGCTCGTAGAGACCGATTCCTCCCGAGCCAGGGGTAGTGCTTGAGATCGACGCTGATGGGAGCAGGCCTAGCGATCCCGGGACCACGCTGCTCACATCTGACAAGATGTCGCCGAACCTGTGAATCACGTAACGACTAAGTGAGCTAACTCGAACCAGAAATCTTGTTGGGGCGACAATACTCACGTGTTATCCATGAGCACCACTCCGTTGAATGAGCGAGGATCTTTGACCATAAGCATGGCAGCGCTATCAGCAAGCTGGTGAGAAAGTTTGATCTGCGGATACTCCCTCGCGAAAAATTCCGTCACGGCTCGACGCCAAAGTCGACTAACAGCAAGGACATTGGCCTTGTCACACGAGATGACTTGCTGAGGCGGCTCCGTCTCCATAGCCAAGTCAGCAGCGACCTTTGCAACCCGCTCAACTTCTGCCCGAGAGTACGCCCAGGCGTCCGATGCAAAATCCTCCTCTTCAGTCTTGTCTCCGAAATAAGCACCTCCGCAGTTTTCTCGCACAAGGATAAAGTCGGTTCCTTCTGTGAGCTCGGGTCGGATAGGGCCTCGGTCGACAAGAGACTTGCTCGCAAACTTGCATGGGCGCAGATTCGCAAAGGCGTTCAGTCCGTGGCGTAAGGCTAGGACGCCCTGTTCAGGTCGCACTTTGCCAGCACCCCTGAGGGTAATTGAATTCTCAGTCATTGCCGCTTGGAAAAGTAGTGTTGACCGTCTGACTTACCACTTAGGCCCACCGACTGAACCGAACAAGACCGCATCGCTTGCCTTGGCCACGTCCAGGACTTCTTGGGTCAGGGCTACGCCGTGCTTGTCAATACTGCATCCGCCCATCAACTCCGAGCGGATCTCAAATTTAACACCAGAGGACTTTTGGATCACCTCGAGGACCTTGACAGCCTCGGCGATGATCTCGGGGCCAACACCGTCGCCTGGTAAAACAAGGATCTTGCGAGAAGCCATTTTGTTGAAGCGTCAAAAGAAGGTCGCTCGGAAGCAATGTAATAAGTTATTCTAAGTACTTAATCAACGAGCAACTTCAGCGTGATGTTTCTGCTTGAAAGCCGGCCGACGGAAATGAGGCCTTGTGGTAGACGGAGGTTGGTGGGTGTCGTTCTCCGCGTAAGCACCGGTCTCGGGGTAAGATATCCGGGGATGACGTACCCGATGCGGAGGGACTAAGTTGCCGCAAATAGCCGACTTGGAGAAGTTCTTCTTCCTCTATCTAATTGTCTTCGAAATAGTTCAATGCGTCACTTTGGTTCATCTCGGAATTTCATCTTTAACCCGGAAACCTATTCCCTAACTTCTCAATCATTTGTAGCTTTGTTTACAGTCAAAAGTTAAGGCTTCGCAACGTTGGTGGTCAAATCAATGTCAATACAGGCTTAGACATATGCGTGCCCACCAACCCTTGGCTCGATCTACATTTCCGACGTGTAAGAACTGCTGGCTAGTACGGCAGTTGTCACATGGAACGAGTGCACGTTCTGAGCAGCAATCGCAATAGATTGTTTTTTATGCGACTCCTCGAGAGCCGAATGGGCACATAGATTCATAATGGGTACCTGTATGCCAACTGGGAGGCCTGTATCGTAGTTCGGACTCGGTATCGGAGTCGGACTAAGCCCTACCATAGCATACTTACTTACCTCATCTAAGTACCATTTGAGCAAGTAGATGACACTAGACAATCTGGATTATTTGAGACACCTACCCTGTAGTTGAGTCAACCGTGTGGCTTTCCATCGGCAGCGGAACCGATGAAGTGTCCGTGGTTGTTCCGCTTGGACAGTGGTAGTGGACAAAGAGTTCGGAGAGTTGCCGCGATTTTTGGCAGCTGCCTTTTGACATCTGAAAAGATTCTTTTCATTCCCATACTACATCAGTATCTACTTAACGTGGTGCGCATCTGCCACCCCGAAGAAGTGTAGCGACTGACTTGAACCAACTCCAAAGTTACAAGCTTGACCATTGAAGAGCCGAAGCCCAAGATGTCTTCTCTCAACTCTTGCCTGCAATACTGTGTTGTCGTTGCCATTTTCGCAATGACACTAATTTATCTCTTGCACCGCTCTCTTCTATCCAAACCCATCCCAGGAATACCTCACAACAAACATGCGGCCAAGAACATCATGGGAGACATTGACTCTTTCCTCGATAGCCAGAAACAAGGCATCTCAATGTTCAGATGGGTCGCAGCCCAAGCCGAGAACCTCCAATCGCCCATCATCCAGCTATTTATGAGGCCCCTTTCTCCCCCTACGGTTATCGTCACAGACTTCCGCGAAGCAGAGGACATATCCATGAGACGGTACAAGGAATTCGACCGAACCGATTTCTTGCGGTACATCTCTCAGCCACTAATGCCCCAGTTTCACATGATGATGAAGAGCGACGACCCCATGTTCAAGAGGCAGCGGAAATGGCTACAGGACCTGATGACTCCTGCTTTCCTGCACGGTGTTGTGGCTAAGCCCATCTATGAGAGCGTTCAGCAGGTGGTTGAGCTTTGGGAGAACAAGGCCCGCCTTGCCGACGGCCACCCCTTTGAAGCTTTCAACGACATTTATTTCGGAGCATTTGATGCCGTCCTGGCATTCTCGTACAGCAGCAACTTTCAACACATGACGCTGCCGGGTCGACTGCAGCTGATCTCGGCCCTCGACCGCATGGAACGCCCAGCCATGGCCGGCTTACCGGTAGTCTTTCCGGAGAGTGAACAAAGCGAAGTCATTAGGGAAATGCTGCAACTAGCCGAAACGGTCGAGGAAACGAGAAAAGCGGTTGTGCCATGGCTTCGATCTTGGTACATCCACCAGACCCCTCGGATCAAGACCGCCAAGAGAATTAGAGATGAATCTATCAATCACGAACTTGAGACGGCCGTGAAGAGACTCGAGGCCAATGAATCTGCGTGCTCGGCGCTTGACCACATGGTTTATAGGGAGAAGCGGGTAGCCGAGAAGGAAGGCAGGGCCCCTGTCTACAAGTCTATTGGTATGCAGAGCGAAGTAAGTCACCGCATCGACACACGATTCAATGTAGGAGGTCCAGCATACTAATCACGATGCCCAGGCGTTTGGCTTCTTGCTAGCCGGGCATGAAACGACAGCTACAACCTTTGGCTGGGGCATCAAATACCTCACAGACAACCCAGACGCCCAACGACGACTGCGCGAAGCCCTCCGCCAGTGCTTGCCCGTCGCGGTAGAACAGAGACGGAACCCGACCCACGAAGAAATTATAAAGACTATCATCCCCTACCTCGATGCAACCATCGAAGAAATCCTCCGCTTCGCTGGGACGACTTCGGTCACGGACCGTGAAGCGATGCAGGATACGACGATCCTCGGCCATCATATTCCCAAGGGCACAAACGTGATGATGGTGACAGTTGGCAAGAGCATCCTCAAACCCGCCTTCGAAATTCCCGATACTCTACGGTCCAAGACAGCGCTCGACGCTTCGAGTCGGGTTCGAAGCTGGGAGTCATCGCCTTATCCTGTGGAGGACTTCAAACCCGAGCGATGGCTGGTCAAATCAGATAAGGACCCCGAGAAGACATTGTATGATGCCACGGCGGGGCCGCAGATGGCCTTTGGGCTCGGGCCTAGAGCATGCTTCGGGCGGAGACTGGCGTATCTGGAGCTCCGCATGTTGACCGCGTTGCTGATCTGGAACTTTGACTTTTTGTCGTGTCCTCCTGAGTTGTCCGACTATAGAGGCTACGACGGTTTGACGGTCAAGCCTCGGCAATGCTACGTCAAGCTATCGAAGATCACATTGTAAGGTCTTTTTCAAGGCCATCGCGAGGTAGCCTAGACTTTCGCATGGTAGAGAGCCGAAGACCCTTTACCTAAGGACGTACGTGTACAGTATGTCACGCATATGAGGGAGGCGATCCCGGCCTCTCAGCCGCCTTGAATAGTGACGAAAGACATACACTGCAACGTGTATGCATAGACAGAACCAGTAGATTGAAAGGCGTCACACAATGAAAGGCATGGCACAGTGACTTGACGAGAACGAATTGCTTATCTAGTATGCTTTGACCTGAAGGATTCTCGCCACAATATGCAACATTCTGTAACAAACCTGTTTCTCAAGGCCACCGCGGCCTGTATGCTGAACTCCAGAAACACCATGCCCAATGCACCTATAGCCGCCCGATGCGCCATGCTAGGTAGGATATCACTCGCTTCAGCCTTCAAATGGCTAGTCCAACAAGGCCGTCGTAAGCACGCTCGACGGTCCGACCACCCATTCCAGGAATGGTCTTCAGCTGCGCCAAGGTCTCAATCTCGGCGTCTTCCTCATCCGCCAAGTGTTCCAAGTAATCAACGAGGTCCTGGGCCTTCTTCGAACCGAATCCGTGCAAGCCCTTGATCTGGGCAAGGTCTCGCGAGTTGACGATGCTCAACAAGTTCTGGGTTCGGGGAGAGGCTGGCCCGGCCGGGTCGGGAAGGACCATTTTGGGAGGCTTGGCGGGCTTTGCCTTTCGGCTCTTCGTCTTCGCGGCAACGTCCACAAAACTCATGTCTTCGTCTCCTCTGTCTTGTTGGTACTCCTCGTCACTGTCTTCGGCAGCGATTCTTCTACGCTTCTTCTCGTGTCCGTTCCGAGGAGAGGATGACACTGGCAGAGACTCGGTGGGAAGCATGTTTCCAAGCTTGACCCTCAACTTCTCAATCTTGCCCAATAGCTTGGCCTGGCCTGGGAAGAAAGGAAGGGCCTCCTCGTACATCTGAAGCGCCACAACATCATTACCAGTCTCCTTGGCCTGTCTAGCAGCCAGCAAGAAGCGTAGGCCCTCTGAGCGACCATCGTCGCGTTCCCGCTCCTCATTCGCAATCCGGCGCTCCAGTGCTTCCAATCGTCGCCGCACGGCATCGTTGATATCGGGGTGAGCAGGTGCAGGTGCAGGCTCTGCCGTTTTGTTCTCCCTAGATGCGAGGATCTCGCTGACCTTTTTCTCGACGATGGCCTCCAACTGCTCTGCGGAGATGGAAAGCTTTTGTTCGGCTGGTTGAGCTGGCTGGGTTGGTTGAGCAATCAGGGAGGACTGCGACGGCCGTGCAAGTTTGCTAGCCTTGGCTGGCAATTCGCGTTCGACGAGGGGCTTCCGGGTCTGCGTCATGTTGGCAGTCGGTCGGACGGGGACAGCAGACTTGCTACGGTCGGTGTACACATTAAAAAGCTTGACCGGTCGCGTCGGATCGGCAGCTTTTTCGGTTGCCTTGGCTGCAATAGTGCCACTGTGAATGTTGTGGGCATTGGATAAGGGGCGGAGGGGTTGTCGTAGGGTGGATGTAGAACTTCCCGAGTTCGTACGCGGGACTTGCTTGAAGACGACTTCATTCTCAATTTCGCGGACCTCGATGCGCTTGGCTCTCGAGCTGACATTCAAGCTGCTCAGAGTGTCCAGATGGTAGCTCCGGATTGGGGCCAGGTTCAGGATCATGACCGTGATGCCGTTGTTCTGGCCTAGACTGAGGATGCGCGTCATCTTTGACTCGCGGTAAGGAATCCGTTTGTCCCCTCGTGAGATGGCGTCGATGCACTGGGACAGGACGAAAAGACTTTTGTTGATGGCAGCAGACTCTACTAGTCTCTCCTTTCCATTGTCGGTACGGCGGTTGTCTTCTGAGCCAGCCAAGTCAATGGCCGAGGCCACGCTTTCGCGGACCTGGTCTCCCGTCGTTTGGGTCACCTTGATTCTCATGATGGCATGGCTTCGACTGCTGTGGGCGTTGAGTTTCGTTGATGCCGTGACGCGGTTGTTATTCGCCTCGATATAGAGTCGGGAAAAGTCCTGAAGATCCTCGCAGGCGCGTTCGGACAGACCCACTACCATCGTCTTGCCATCTTTTTCGCGGAGGGGAAGGCCAGAGGGCTGACGTTTCTCGGGAGGTTCGAATAGGTCAAAAACCTTGTCGTTGTATATCTCGTAGTATGATAAGACAACGTCGACGGTGGTCTGGCCGCCGGTGTCCTTGGCGATCTTCTTTCCGCGCCGATACACACCGCTCAATAGCCGCGGGATGACACCGCGATCTGCCAGCTTCAGTCCACCTCTCATTGTGTGCGTCTTGCCTGTTCCGGTGACTCCATAGGCAAAGATGGTGACATCGAGGCCTTGGAAGAGTGCCTTAATGTGTGGTGCCACTGCTCAAGTTAGTATGACCGATGTCTCTCGATGATTCGTATCTAGCGTAAAGGTATCCGTACCCTCTGCTGTGAAGAGTGCGTCCTGTGTCGTCGATTGGTCGTAGACGCTGGTGAAGGCGAAGGAGAACTCCTCGCTCTCGTTCTTCGGACTCGGGATCTTGACCAGCGTGGCTGGCTTGCCCGGCTCAGTGCTGTCCGCGCGGACAATGACGTCCTTATCCAGCTCCTTTTCGAGGAGGGGACGGATACGCGCGACCACACGAACCGACATGGTGAGGCCAGACCGACTTTCGACTCGATGGTGAAGGTGAGGGTGGCAGCAGCCCAAGCCAGCAGGAATGAGAAGATGTCGAAGCCGATACTCGGGGGTGTGATGTCGGAGTTTGGAGTCGACGCGACGTGTCGAGGTTGGTTCGACAAGAAGACTTTTGTGGTGTTTGAACCGTGTTCGTGACTTATTCAATGTTGTGCAAGGAATATGGAAGGTTTGCACTGAGGCCTTGTCAACAGGGGTATCGACATGGGCTGTTGCTGGGGTGATTGCACTAATCTCCTCTAAGCGAATGAAACGAATCTCCAGCCCCATTAAAACCTTCGAGCTTCGACATTGGCAGGAACATTCAGATACGTACTCCCCACCTCACGTGCCACTACGTAGGTATTCCCCAGGACCTACAGATACGTACCCTTCGGCACGGGACGGTATTGACCCGGGATGAAGCTCCGGGATTTTGCCGTCAGCTCAGCGCAAGGTCGACAGCCTTCCAAATTCCTGATGGAGCACCGCAGAGGGCGACAGCTGCTGGAGCTTCCAAGTCACGATCCGAACGACCGACGTCATCAGCCTCCCAGATGTCCGCCATGCGCGCCCAATTGCCCTTGCTGAGGACGGCGCAAGGTGCGCGAGCTGGTCAATTGCCTTCTTACGTCTGCAGGCAATGTAGAGGCATCCAGATTAGCGCTGCGCCGACGACTGAAGCGCCCAAGGTTGGCGGGGATGTCTTTGGAGCTCGAGGAGCGTCGCGGGATGCCGCCGGTATGGTCAATGGTTCAGTGGCATGGAAGTTGGTACAGGAAGAATACTGACTGAATGACAACAGATGCTCGGTTCGAGGTCCTCGGATCACCATACTCCCTCCTTTCCGTCTCTCTGTCGCCGTCGCAGCAGCTTTACACCAGAAGGGGAACATTGGTAGGAGTTGCAGGCAAGGCTGAAAATGTGAGCATCGGTTCACACTCTGCCCCTCTGATCAACATCTAATCAAGAAATTACAGGCCCAATCGACACTTTCCATTCTTTCGCCCTTCACACGAGCCTTCCTCGGCGTTCCTTTCCTGTACCAACGCATTTCATCTTCAACGCCCCTCACGGCTCTGATTTCTACAAAGTCTCCCACAACGACCTTTTCCGTCCTTCACCTCGATGGTACCACCGACTACATGATCTCCCAGCGCAATGCGCTTCTTGCCTGGACGGGCCACACACTCTCCGTATCGCCGCGTATAAGCCGTGGCCTTTCGCTTGCCCACTGGGGAAGCACTCACCTCACTGGCAGAGGCCTCGCTGCTCTGTCCTCCCCCGGTCAGGTGTACGAAGTTACCCTCGCAGAAGGCGAAGAGTTTGTCGCTCACCCCTCGCACGTCGTCGCATACGCCGTCTCTCGCAACCCTCCTTTGCCGATGCGCCTAAAGTCGAACATCCTCCGTCTCCAAATTCCCAACATCACTCGCTTCTTCCCCGAGACAAATTTCATGAAAGCGATGCGCGATACCAGTACATACAAGAATGTTGCTCGGTGGTTGTTCACTTTGAGGACGTCGCTCAGACGCACGATTTGGGGCGACCGCCTGTTCCTCCAGTTCCGCGGCCCGACAACCCTTCTCATGTCCAGCAGAGGCGTCAGAGTTGCTGATGCTCTCACCAATAAGGAGGTCAACGAGATTGCAGATGCGCCGGCTGGCGTAGTCCCAGACGCTGTTGAATTGACCACTAAGCCAAAGATCGAGGCAAAGCCCGTATCGGTCGAGCAGCCACCATCAGCCATCCATGTCGCCAGCGTATCGCGTGATGGAAAAGTCAGCTTCGAGGACGCGAAGGATCTCAAAGAGTTTGTGCGATAGAGGCGGAACCAAAATCGGAATCAAATACAGGCACCCCTGTGCCGCGAAGCAGAATTGCCATGGCAATTTGATCAGACAGCCACAAGGCTGACAAATGTAACTTTACTGTGTAATAGACAACGAAACGGTCAGGTTACAATGCTGCATGTGAATCGACCTGCAGGTTAAGTCCGGCTGCTGTAGGACATTTCCGCCGTGGGATGTTTTAGTATCGGCCGGATCTTCTTTACTCGTATTCTCGTGATGTGTCCGTATGGATAGTTATCATCTCGGAGATATGAGTTCGTTCGTCGTCCGATCCCTGGACATTTCGCTAGAATAAACTTGATGGATGACAACTTCGGATACAAAGTCACAAAACCACGTGGTTTTGCGCCGTTGATGTAATCCGGCTTAGTGGTAAACAGCCACGGAGGCTGGTATTATTGACAAGCCTGACGTTCTAAATGACAATTCGATTTCCGACCGAGCGCCGAGCACACCCTTCTGAGACAATAGAACAGTGGTGATTGGTTCAATGGTCAAAGGTGAACAGCTTGTAGCATCCCTCATTCCAATCCAGAGTCTCTCGGGCTTCGCGTTTTCATCTCAAGACCGAGCCATAAAGTCCCATTCCGGGACCCCCACCCCGGAACACGGCTCCGGGCTGGGGTACGAGGCGGGATCTTGCAGCCAAGGCGGGTTCTCATGAAGAAGATGATTTTGAAGATGCCAAGAGTCTGGATCAGGAACATTGAACCTATGAAGAATCATGAGGAGCATGAGCCTGGCCATTCTCCAAGTTTGTAGAATTAATCACTCTACTGGCCTAAGAGTAATTGAAGAAGCTCCCCTGTTGCACGAAAAAGATGATCACCTAGCTGTAAATGGGATGAAGCCTCACCGACTCTCCAAACGCTAAGCGAAGATCAGCAACCAAGTTCTCCTCGCTCACTTGAAAGTTGAAACCGCACTGGTTGATTGATCTAAGACGGGGTAAAAGCGACTGACCTAGCGGCCGATATTCGTTTCCGTGAATCACAAGCGCACGTTCCCACCGCGAGACTCCCAAATGACACTGCGACAGGCGACAAGCTCACAAAGCTAAGAGATGACTACCGAAGAACATTCGTCACCACAACAGCTGGCCATGCCTTAGTTGAGCCGCTTGGAAGCAAGCGGTCCAACCTTTTCCCATTCTCTGCCTAACGGCTTAGGTTTTCACATTTCTCGAGTGGACAAAGGGGCCTTCGGCCGGTAAGTCGCTTGTTATATCCGGCCCGCTAAGCTAAGGGTCGTCTACCCCTCCCCAGGATCTTGGTATCCAGAATTGCGGTGATCCAGAACGGCATGGCGTTTAGAACCGAACATGGGTTTGTCTGGAGTCTTCTGCATTCTCCGAGTCTAACCCCCCAAAACAATCTTGTTTCTTTGCGCTTGAAGGGCGGAAACTGCGCGAGAGGACCTTATGCCAACGTTTGTTGATTCCATGTCTATGTTCGATTAATAATTGTCCGTCACTTGAGCCGCGCAATGGAACTTGTCGTGGAGTGTGGAAATACTTTCTTCATTCGGATATAGGCAGGGCCCCAGAGAATAAGAACAACACGAACTGCTGCTACTGATCGTGCTGGTATTACCTTGGACTACTTGATATAGTCCCATGTTTAGCCGACCAAGAAGCAAGCAATCTCGTTGAGCTATTCACAAACGATACGAAACGACGCGATAGTTCGCCCCACAAGCATTGCTCGCACCCAAGGGGCCCAAGGGAGTTTCTTTTCTAATCTCATCAAGGAACTTTTCGCCAACAAGATCTGCGCCCACGGACTGAAAGGCGGCGCTGGCCATCGACGCTTCACTCGAAGCCACTTGAGAGAAGATATTGAGAAAGGGAGCAATACAAACCAATACGAAGCGGCAACCCGTCCGTGTCACAAAAGTTCGCTGAGGAAAACAGTCGCAACAACACCAGTTCAACCCCAGAATCCACGGCCATGCCGCGCTCTCAACACGCCCTCTCAACATCGTCCAACTCGTCAACCGTCATGGACAGGTCCACCGCGCCTGCAGACCCAGAAAAGTCGGACCACATCCCCTACGAGTCCTCCTCCTCCGCCCGCCAATCCCTAGATCGCATTCCCTCGCAGCAGCGCGACACCGAGGCCAACATCTACCCAGAACCCACCAACGTCGTCGAGGCTGATCTCGAAAAGGGCGGCTTGGCGCACGCGACAGCAACGCAAGATGCCAAGACCGATGGCCCGGTCGGTGGTGATGCACCGGCACCGTCCGTGGCCGGCCCGCCGCCGGGGATGAACCCGGCTGACTTTCCCGACGGCGGCGCCCAGGCTTGGCTTGTCGTCTTTGGAGGGTGGTGCGCGTTGTTCTGTACTTTTGGGTTGATCAACTGCGTCGGCGTCTTCCAGGCGTATTATGTGTCTGGTCCCCTCAGCTCGTATCCTTCGTCGACTGTCGCGTGGATCACCAGTCTGCAGGTCTGGGTAATGACCTTTATGGGCGTCATTGTGAGTTTCCCCCGGAGAGCCTCTTCGCCGCTGTCTCGATCGCTGACGATTCGCTCTAGTTTGGCCGTTTGTATGACACATTCGGCCCCAAGTACCTCCTCTACTGCGGTACCGTCGTCTACGTCTTCGGTCTGATGATGACCTCGCTGTCAACGCAGTACTACCAGTTCATCCTTGCCCAGAGTCTCGTCTCGTCCATCGGCTCGAGCGCCTGCTTCAACGCCTGCATGTCGTCCGTGACCTCGTGGTTCTTCAGGAGACGCGCAGCCGCATTTGGCATCATGGTCTCCGGCTCCTCGCTCGGCGGCGTCATCCTACCCATCATGATGTCCAAGATGATTCCCCAGGTCGGCTTTCCATGGGCCATCCGCGCCGTGGCATTCCTGTTTCTGTTCTTACTCGGTATCGCGTGTCTGACCGTCAAGTCTCGGCTGCCGCCTCGCCCGCGCCCATTCGTCTTCAAAGAATACGTCGATGGTCTGCGTGAGCCGCCCATGGCTATCACAGTATGCGCATTGTTCCTCTTCTTCCTCGGCATGTTTTTGCCTTTCAACTTTGTCATCCTCCAAGCGCGTGCGCAAGGTATGGATGAGAACCTCGTCATTTACCTTTTGCCCATCATGAACGCTGTCAGGTAAGCACCTATCGCCATCATTATCTATACCATGGTACTAACAACGCGTAGCATCCTCGGTCGCATCGTTCCCGGCATTGTCGCCGACAAAGTCGGTCGGTACAACGTAATGATCTGCATTACCTTCATCAGCGCAATCTTCTGTCTCGGCCTCTGGATCCCCGGAAAGAGCAACGCCGCAATCATCGTCTTCCTCATCATCTTCGGCTTCTCCTCCGGCGGCTTCATCTCACTAGGCCCGGCCTGCATTGCCCAAATCTCCGACATTAGACAGATTGGCGTTCGCACCGGGACCGCGTTCGCCGTTCAGTCCTTTGGAGCCTTGGCTGGTAGCCCTATTGCCGGCGCCATTGTCGCGTCGCAAGGAGGCACCAACTATCTTGGGCTTCAGCTGTTCTGCGGCTTCTCGATGCTGGCGGCGGTTGGTGTTTTTATCGCGGCGAGGACTGTGCAGGTGGGATTCACGCTGAAAAAGGTTGTTTAATGGGAATTACGCTGGGTTCGAAGCGAAAGTCTAATCCTGGCATACTGCATGTCAGCAGGAGAATGAGAGTTTACCGGCCGATATGTCCGCAACCCCGATCTCCACTCTAATCGCCGGCTCCGTTCCGGCGCCGTTTATGAGCCGTGCCCGATCCTACCTCATGATCGGCTGCGCCTCTTTCTCCCGTGTCCGGTTGCATGCGAGGAAACATAGAAAGAAACAATGGCAAAAACAACGATGAAAGAGAGTTTACATAGAATATTAGTTAATGGTGGAATAAACAACGTTGCTGACTCCAATACCTCTGGGCTTGATTCCCTACGTACACATCCTATGTAAGCTCACGCTTCTGTAGCTAAGATGTGGCTAACGGGAGGCGACAGAGAATTTTTTCAATGAAGCTTCAGCGATTGCAAGCGACATGGCCTCGACCAGTTTACATGTAATCATTGAGACGGAGTTCCCCATCTCTGCGACTCTTCGGAGCTCCAGAAGACCGCAAAGACTGCGGCTTACAAGGTCTTCATTAGATTTGAACGAGACAAACATCCTCCGTAGTACAAGAATCCAATGATTTGAGACCAGTTGAGGTTGTTTGATCTCTCGCTTCATGTCTTGAGCTCCACCACTGTGACCTTCAGTTGCCGTCTACAAGGTCTTGTACAGGCGTAGGCTCGATTTTTGGGAAATCTTTCTCGAGCTTACGACGGGAGCCATCCCAAAGTGAGCATAACCACGTGCACAATCTAACCCGAAGGGCCCGAAGGGGAAAATGAAGCTCTGTTGCATCGTTTCGATTACAATCTAAACAAGTCCTTGCAGGATCGCGATTGATTCCTCTAAGCGGTCTCGAGATCATGTCGAGTCATCAGCGATGGAGAACTTGTTGCCTTGCAAAAGTTAGCTTTGATTTGTGACCCAAAAAAGAATTTTGGAATTACCTTTGATGCCTTCTGCGACTTGGACAAGACGGTTGTAAACGGTCCTGTCGTCAATGGGGTGGGTAGCTCTTGGAATGTGAACTGACACTCTGAACAAGGGCGACATTGAAGCAAGCAATGCCACACGTGTGGTCAAAGAGGGTGGGACTATCCTCTGACTCAGGGATCGACGCAGAGTTGATAGCGGTGTTGACAAAGAACGCCATTTGTTCGAGGTAGGAGGCAGGGCAGCATAAGTCGGGTAAGTAAGTGGTCGCGGAAGTGTCCGAAAGTCACTCGCCCCAGTGAGATCAACTTCATCTTCGTAATGGCCGTCTTCTTTCTGATAATTGGAGATATTGACGCCCAGGCCCTAGGTATTACGCAGATCTGAGTGATGTTTATGAGTGAGTTGATGCGGTCCCCTAGATTGGCGACGATGCAAGGTAAGGGGGAACGGTTGAGACTCCATATTCGGGTAGGTAAGGGATGCCGAAATGGCTTGGTATGAACCTCCTCGTTGTCTTCGATCTCTCAGCAGCTGCAACGAGATTTAACTCTGACTGGCTTTCCCTGGTAATGTTGTAGACTGTTGAAATTACGGTGTCGACATTGTATTTTTCAAGGACGGCCGTGAGAGAATCAATATCAGAATAGTCTACAGCCACGAAGCGAACATTTGGGGCTGCGCCTCCGGGTTGTCCTGAGACCTAGGTGAGAACATGACTGTTAGTATTCAGTCTTATTGCTCAAATGCATGGACCATTGTCTTGTTGATAACTACCTTTCTCGTCAGCACGATAACCTCATGGGTTCCTTGGGCCGAAATAGCTTCAACAAGATCACGGCCAGGGCCGCTGATTCCGCCAGCAATTGCCACAGCCATATTGGTCTTATCTTTCGTTATCTTACTTTCAACAAACAAAACCTTTCCTCAGTGATGGCGAAGGGGCCCAGAAAATTCAGTCTCTCCACACTGTTCGAACTTTTCATCCTATATATGTTTGTGGATCAGTGACGGCGTGTATCAAGAGCCTTGCTCATGCCAAGAGTGAAGACTCATCTCGCTCTTCGGACAACGCCAAGGCGTCCGTCACATGGCAGTATTGTGGCTAGCAGCGTCATGAACCGGAGATTAAGGACAAGATTTCGGAAGCGCAAGAGTCTGAGCAGGCCATGACCAACTAGCTTAGAAATTCAACTCGGCAGCTTCCGTTAACATGGTCTGCCCCGAGTTTAGCGGTGGGATGTGCAGCTGTCGCGGACACGGGATCTCGTAGGTTTCGGGGCTCTCGGGGACCGAAGAGTCTTTTGGCCCGCCCCTCCCGACGGAGATAGATCGTTCGCTTTTACGCGATCCCAATCGCAAGTCTTCTTGATTCAAAAGTTCGGTTATCTTTTCTTCTAGGAGATTTTCATTCTGTTTGTTACAAAACCAGTACAATAGTATGGTACTCGACTCTATGTGTCTATCGTTGATCTCGCACCCAGCCGCAAGCCTCGAGCTGGGATAGCCTGGTGAAATCCGACTAGAAGAAGCCCATGACCTGCTCCCCACCAAACATCATCTCCATGTCCTGATTAGACTGCCCGTGTTCAGCCGCCAAATGATAATTGCCCGCCATAGCATTAGCCGGATAAAATTGGGTGAGCCCCAGGGTTGACAGAGACGGGACAGACGCCCAATCTTGCTCGCTGCTTGTCTGGATGTGCTTTTCTGCAATCATATAGAGCTGTCGAGTAATGTCATAAAAGTCCTTTGCAGAAGGTGATAGATCGGCCCCCTGCTCAAGGCTGTCTGCAAAGCATTTGAGTCGTTGCGCGTCGCTCGAATCTTGAGTCTCGACTATGTGGCAAAATACCACCAGGAGTGGAATAAAAGGGGTTTGGAGTAGTCTCCTGAATACACAATGGCACCTGTCAATTCCACAACGGATGATCTAGAAAATCGGCATGAATAGTGGTATTGGGCTTACCAATGGAGGTAGAGATTCACAATATGTAAGTCGCCGCTCATCAAGGGGACGCACTCAAGATGGGCGTCAATTGTCGAGCGTGCATATGCCAAGCAGTCCGGTGAGAAAGATGGCACAGAAGCTCGAGAAGTTCTTGCCCTGCATATCAGGGTTCCTGTCGTATAGTACATGACTTTGGCGGATATCGCAAGAACATCATCCAACTTCGTCGTCGGTTCGGTACTATTGGCAGAGAAAATCCTTGAGTTGACCTGATTGTACGTTACCATCATCATACTTGAACTGAGTAACAAGCTCCACGGTCGTACATACCAGATTAACGGGCTCTATCAACTTGAGATCAGCAAGCAGGCTATCTGCTCGCTCGGATAAGTCTTCCTGGGAGACGAGCTGTGCGCTTCGACTGTAGAGCAGATCGTAAATTTTGCTGTGAATTGAGGCATTCTCGACCCAGAACGGCACAACTTTATCCCACAGCCTTGGTAGACAGACCAGATTGAGCCCCTTGGGTAAGTCAATATCAGAGTCTCTAATCATGGAGGCTCTGCCCACGCGCAAGGCAATACTCTTTTCCAACCCGTAGACGTGCCAGAACAACAAGGCTTTGACGTTTCTCGTACTTTCGTCATCAGCAACAATAAGACTCTCGTCATGAAAGCCTGCAGCCATGCAAAGCTGCGCTGCGAAGCATATCAACCTCCATGCCAGCCACGGTTTTGCCATCTCGATGGCGTGCGTTGTCTGGGTTGTTAGTGTGGAACAAGGTCAACATATGATGGCTTGACATACGCCGAGGATCAATGCTTGTACGTTTTTGGCTTTTGCAGATAAACTGGCATCTATCGTTGCTACTGCGGCCGTGAGAGCGTTCCTGCACATTGCCCCCCAGGCGAGAGATTGTTTCCGAGGCTCAGACTGTCCCACACTGGGAGGACAAAAGTACTCTGTGAAAAGAGAATGCAGGCCCGAGTTCACTATAATGAAGTCAATGGCAGTATAGTCGTCGACGGAGAAGTAGACGTTCCGGCAGAGGTCAATGAAGTCCGAACATGGGAGAAAACACCTCAAAACAAAGAAACTGCTGGGAGGGTTGTCTATCAACTCAGAATTCTTAGCAAAGGACTTTGGACAATGACTTTGACACAAGATACAAGTTGATCCACGTACCTTTCAGTTGTCTAAGCACACCAACGACAGCGGCTATTGGCGGCAGAGGCATGTTTCGGTAACTTACGGGCTTCTGGGCTAAGTGTCGTTGGACAGATCCTGCTGGACTCTGAGATCCCGCGACTCTATGCGCACTAGCAACGGCATTCACGTAGCATGAGGTACCCAACTCAATGGCCGCACTTTCTGTGAGTCTTCTTGTTGCTGCCATCTGGAACCTCAATGAGGAGGGGCCTTCAACCGGCGGAGCTTCATCTCCTGCATCGTATTCTGTGGCGACGTGAGGCGTATCCTTTACGGAGAGCGGCACTTCTAAAGGGGCCTTTTCAGGGGTCAGCCCCGAGCATGAGCATTGTGTTGACGCCGCACTCTGTTGTAGTTTGAGCAGCAAGGACTCAATATTGGCTAAGCGTTTATCCAAAAGGTCAATCTTCTCCTCGCTGCGAGCCTGTTAGCCTGGAAGATGCTGCGAGGGAAGGAAAGGCTTGATCGGGAAACACACTACTGCAGGGATACATGAACCCTCTGGCGGGGAACCTTGGGCTTCTGACCAGCGCCAGTAAATGTGCAGTCCTGTGACGACTGTCGACAGTTGAAGCAAGGTACGCTTTTGTCACATCGAACCTATCAGAGTGGCTGTTAATGACTGGTGTTGATCACAGAGACAGAGATACTGATGCAGAAACTTGTGCCCCTAGAACATTGCTGCGTCTCATCTTGGAATCATTGCAACACGTCCACTTACTTTGCGCAACCGGCATAAGTCACACTAGACACATTTCTGTTAGATATGTACTTAAGTAGGACCACAATCGATCTTTGCTTACCGCAGTTGCCCTTGAGTCCATGTCAGCTATTCGGGCTTGAATGCAGCTGCCTCAAGCTGTGTCGAGTTGTTGGGGCAAGAGTCGTGGAATCTCCTCTCGGACTCCTCGGTCGCCATTGCCTGGACTCAGTGACATCCCGTCGGTGGGAGTGTAGTGTCGGCCTCCGAGGAGACCGAGCAGGGATGTGTGCACAAATTTCCATCTCCGTCTGTGGGCCAGATCCGAGATCTGAATGAGCAAGGGGTGCGGAACAGTCCGCCCGGCGCTCGGCCCTCAACTCGGCGCCGGCTGCGGACCTTGGATACCAGTCACCTGTACTATTCATTGGTGCCATTGTGCTTGCCTGTCAATTAAAGTCAGGGTTGCTGATCGGATGGTATTGTTCTTCGTACAATACAGGCTGACTGGTCAGCTTTCAGCTTATTATTTTGGCTAGCTGCCTTATTCTCTTGAGATTGTAGCAATACTCCGTAAGAAAGAAATCAGTAAATTCTATGAACAACAAGGTCTAGTCTAGAGATGCCCTTGTATCCCGATGATATCGACTGAACTTTTCTAAGTTTGGACTCCTTTGAGGTCGCCCGACTCTACAAAGAGTATTGTTTAGTGTGTCTCATCGATTTAAGTTGAACCAACGCCGTGTGACAACTTCCTCGTCACGGCAAACTGCGCTGATCAAAACGTGTAGGATCCTCGGCAACGATTGGCTGATGAACAGTCTGTTCCATGGTATCGGCTGAGATGAGGGCATCAAGATGTTTGGAGCGGGTGACTCGTCGCTTGCTGTCTTTGATTCAGCTGCAGGTACGAGAGGTGTTCTAGACAGCCCCGATCAAAGGTTCCCCCGTCTCGTGGAAGAGTCAGCTGAACCGAAATCGGGTCTTCGAATTAGCGATCAACGCAAATATTGAGTCAAGATCATGGGCCCTTCAGGCTTGAGAAAGCTCAAGAAATCGCACTCGTCGGCTACGAATGTTATTTTGCTGGCAGGAAGGGTTGAAGCAAATGAATGGGACGAATTGAACTGTATCTAGACACGGTCATTATGACGCTATTGATCTCAACCCCTCAGCAATTGGCAGCAAAATCTGACAGAACACATTCTAAAGCCGTGTGGTTGACTCATTCTGCATGGCGCTAAATGCTGACTTCAGCTGGTCAAAGACTGGCGGCGGGGATGCGATGTGGATTGACGGGGATAAACTTAAAGAGCCTGGTCTGTCCAAAGCTCCCATCATCATCAACATTAGTTGCCTGAAGAAAGTCCATTCTAACATCGACGACACTTTATCAACAGGCTCTTATGGCTTCACAAATGAGTACCGCGGACCTTGTCAATCATTTGAAGGCGATCTACGCTTCGTATAGACATACCGCGGATATCGATGCGAAGGGGATCTTTTTTTCTCCATCTTGCTACCAAATATATCGCCCAAACCCCTCGTTTGCTGCGCACAATCGTGAGACAATCGTGCGCTACCTGCACGAGTATGCACCCAAAGACGAAAACGGGGCATCGGGGTCAAGTGGAAAGCCAGCGAAGAAGGGATATTATACGATACGACCACTCGAAAAAGAGGAGTTTGAGTTCGGCGCCGACGAGCAGACTGCTCCTGCCGGCTTCTCTTCAGCGTCGGAAGTCGAACAGAAGGCCAGAAGAGAGGGGTGGGTGGGATTGAGGGTTGATCTTTGGGATGAATCGCTAGGTAATGAAATAGACAGGAAAGAAGACCTTTTGGTCAAGGTGCAGTACTGGTGGCGTAGAGAGGAAGGCAACTGGATGCAAATCTTTCACGACATTATGTACATGGGTCCGCGTGATGGGAGTGAAGGGGTTGATGCGGAGGTCTTGGAATGACATCCAGACCCATCACATTTGCGAGACAAAAATGGATGACAGGTAACTCAGACGAAGGGTAGCTTGCTGGATGTCTCAAATTGTTCGGCTGGAGTTGGCTGTTGAAGTGTTTCGTTAATTTCATCACACTCGATTCCCATGTCTCATAATGGTTCGTTCTGTTCTGGAATTATTCAGCATGGTGAGAGGGTTAGAAACAGGCTTGTGTCGCGGACTGGGAGATGAAGCCGCTTGGTATGTACATCCTCCTCAAAATCATTGACATGTCCTCGTCTAAAGTATGTCGGCATGGACAGTACGCTTGTGTACACTGGTATGTCCTGATTTTGATCAACAGATCCGCTACAACGAGTGAGAAGAACTATCATTGACTGACGAGGAGAATCTACCAGACATTGTTACTTATGAACCAAATTTGGAGGTAGTGTAATTACCAAGTGTCTCATTGTGGACAGTACAGTCACCTCAGCTTGAAGTGTATCACAGGTTGGCTCCACCTCCAGTGCCTTCATCTGCTCGGTTGATAGTTCCAGAATCCATGCCTGTCTCTCGTTGGACTTGACCAACATTGTCTTAGATTGAAATTTGACAGGAGTTTTAGGCGATGTCAGGATCATTCAGATCCTCTCTGAGCGATATTTCGGTCCATTTCATACCAGAATCACCCCGAGATGAATGTTGACTTTTCTGACTAAACCACAATTCATCACAGTGGGAGAATCCATCATGGGCTTCCGAGCTTCCCTAACCTTCACTATTGGCGTGTTAACTCTAACATGCAGAGCACAGAGTCCGATCCCCGAGGATCAAGATCCGTGCCTAGATCCTGGGGTCCTTGCCTCGAAATGGTTTGACGACAACATGATCCGGCCAAACTATGTTCCAGCAACGACGGAAGAAAAGCCTAGTCAGTGATACCCAATGCATTATTTCCGCAGAATATATTCCACGAGCGGTGGGGGAGCCCGCAATGTCGCTAAGTAACACATGCGAGTATAGTTATTGCTCAGAGAATCTTCGACCAGCCCCAGACTTCAGAGACTGGCAAGTCTTATGTGACTAGTCTGGAGCAGACCAGCGTGCTCTACATGACGGGAGTCATTGTAGACTTACTGCAGGCTGATGTGCAAAAGACTGGAGCACCTGAAGACTTGCCACGGTCCCTCGGAACAGGTTATAATAGTGCCATTCTTGTCGTAAGATCTATAGTATCCTCGGGCCTTGCGTGATCTTACTAGATGACTGACTTTGAGAAGGGCGAAAGCTCAACACTACGGTTCTCTGGTCGCATCGAAACCCACAATGGCGCAATCAACCTGTATGCAACTGGAGCTGGGACGACGGTCACCCTGGAGGCACCCCAACTGTACAGTAGCGGTCCGGGAGCCATTGGTCTTTTTGCCATCCGGGGTGCCAATTTGGATGTCACCAATCTCCGCCATTGCTCGGGTGGCTACCGATCACCTACCCTCGCGGGCCTCAACATCAACAGCCGTGGGGGCGTCGCCCACACTACCAACCCGGGGTCGCCATTGATTTACTCACTAGGGCGGACCATGTCATCCAATCTGACCGGTTGGGCCGACGCGTCCCCTGCCATAATCATGGAGGGGCCTCAGTATGTACATCTAAACGGTTCAACCATCACTTCGGGAACCATCAGTGGTTTCCTGTTCTTCGATTGGTCCATCACGGCTCAACATGATGCCGGCACGTTGGAGGCGACGTCCCTCAATCTGACGGTCCGCGAGGGCCCGGCCTTTTACCTGGCAACATTTTCCGCCGAGATCATTCTAATGAATGCAAGGATATACAATCCTTCAGGAATTCTGCTTCTGGCGGATACGAACACAGCATCCCGGGACCTTGAGAGGGTCGAGCCGCAGCTTTGGAGCGGGAGTCCAATCTCTTCCAACTCTTCCCTGACGCTGATGGGCTCGGAAGGCATCTCCGGAGATATCGTCACCCGGGGTGGTTGTACCGTCTCTGTCAATCTTCTGGCCAACAGCACGTGGCAGGGCTCCGCCAATGCATCTCTCATTAATAATCGTGGGGGCTTGACAGTGCAGATTGACGATACAAGCACCTGGATCGTAGCAAAGAACTCGTTCGTCCGAGGTCTGTCAGTCGTTGGTGGGGATCTTGGACGCCTCAAGGACCAGGGGTACACGGTTGCGTATGATCAGAAAGCCGCAGAGAGCTCCTGGCTCCAAGGCCGGACGTACACTTTGCAGAACGGAGGAAAGCTTCAGCCGTGGAATTGAGCTGATAGCTGGCTGTTCTTGAAAACCGATACAGGGTGTTTTGCGATAGAACGAGTCATGGTGAGGAGATTGGAAGTCGGTGTTTGTTCATCCGTCTCTGACATTTTGCATTTGAAATCGAAGAATGGCAAATAGCACAACGTAACATGTCGGATCCGAGCAACGTTTTGCCCAATTGAAGGAATTTTTTAAGCTTTACGTACTCCTTGTCGACCCTACCCACCGTTCAAAGGCCGTGTTCCACAGGATCCATCTCGGCTAATCAGCCTAGTGGTTGTGAAGATCGAGGTAGGGACTTTTGGCGATGGCGCAATTGCTGTTATGTACGGGATTGGTGAAGAGACTTTTCTGCAACACAATCGTGTTTGTTTGCCACGAAGAACTCGGGAACTTCTGCTGCTTACTATGGCACAATATGTGAACACGCTCTCGCCCGAGTCGCCCCTATGAGATGATTGAACCGAGTCGCAGTGGGATGGCACTTTTGCCGCAATACGATGCAGTGCGCCGGCGATCCTGCGGGGCATTTCGAAAGGCCCCGTAGGGTTACATTCCTAGAACCGAAAGCCACCTTCAGAAGCCGCATATCCGCTAAAGCTCGTGCCATCGCGCGACGCAGGTAATATAAAGATGAAAAACGCCGATGACACCATCGCAATGGCTCCGCCAACTAACTGTAACGGTCGACTGACCTCCCACATTCGGGAGTTGTCTAGAGTCAGTAACGGCGAGTGGGCGAAGCAGTTGAACCATGGACGACTTCTTGATATAAGTTGCAACGCCCAGCTGTCGGAGGGTTGCGTTCGGAAGAAGAAGGTCCCTGATCCCCAGAGGCTTGGCCAACTTGGCTCCCGTGTGGCGTTCTCTTCCAAGCATCTTGGCGATCAGCCGCCCTGAACGACCTCCACCATGTCTCCATCCCAAAACCAACAACAACAGGCCGCCGGTGAGCCAAAGACTGGCGGTCTTCACGATGGCGACGCCATTTCCGTCGACTCTCCCAGCAACGGCACGCCCGAGAAGCGGTCCGGCGAGCCCGCTGCTCCCTACACTGAGAGCGACATGGAGAAGCCGCCCTTTGTATTCACGACCAAGGCCAACGGCGAAGAAGAGGCCTTTGACGAAGACGACCCGAGACTGAAGGACATCCCGGCCTACGTGCGCCGCATCGTTTCGCTGCACGACGACCCGGATTTGCCCTGTCTTACGTTCCGATACTTCCTCCTCACCATCATTTTCGTTATTCCCGGCGCGTTCCTATCGATGATGAGCCATTTCCGCACGACGTATGCGCCCTACTCCATCTTCTTCGTCCAGATTGCCTCGAGTTACTGCGGCGCCTGGCTTGCCAAGATCTTGCCGGCGTGGGAGGTCAAGGTCCCATTTACCAAATTCAGCTTCAACCTCAACCCGGGGCCGTTCAACGTTAAAGAGCATGTCCTGATTACCATTTCCGCGGCATCGGGCGCTACCTACAACTTGGGATACACCCCCGTTGCGATGGCCGAGCTTTACTTCAACTCCAAGATTCATCCTGCGGCGGCAATTTTCTTCATGTGGGGCATTGTGTGGACTGGCTACTCGTTTGCCGCACTGGCTAGACAGTTCTTGATCTACGATCCTCAGTTCCCGTGGTTTACGGCGCTTTGCCAGACCGCCCTGTTCGAGACGCAAAAGAAGCAGCGCGAGGCCCCGACGGCTTCGTCCCGCAAGCAGACGAGAGTCTTCTTCTGGGCTCTCCTCGGTATGACCATGTGGCAGTTCCTGCCCGAGTACATCTTCCCTATGCTCGGATCGCTGGCCTTCCTCTGCTGGGTGGCACCCAACAACGCGGTGGCCAACTTTGTCGGTTCCGGGTTCGGAGGAATGGGCTTCTTGAACCTTTCGCTGGACTGGTCCAACATCTCGACCAATGGATCTCTCTTCCTGACTCCGTGGTGGACGCAGGTTGTCATGTTCTGTGGTTTCGCGTGCAGCTGCTGGATCTTGATTCCGGCGGCCAAGTACGGCCACCTCGGCGAGTGGCACGGGCACTTGATGTCAAACAGACTGTTCCTCGAGAACGGCACGTCGTACCCGATCACGAAGCTGCTTACTGCGGATGTGTCGTTCAACGAGACGGCTTACGCGGAGTACGGTCCCCCGTTCGTCAGCACCCAGGTTCTGTGGACCATGTTCTTGTAAGGAAACCCCCCCTCGGCCTCTGGAAGTTCCCTCGTATTCTGACCCCTTTTCTTCTAGTGACTATGCTGCTTATACTTCTGCGATTGCTTGGGCTGCTCTCTTCGGCTACAAGACCATCAAGAGCAGTCTCTCGAAGATGATGGACCGCATGAGAAACGGATCGCAAATCAGCACGCAGTACAACGACCAGCTCAGCATCCTACAGCGAAGCTATCAGGAAGTACCCTTGTCTTGGTTTGCCGCACTATTTGCTGCCTCGGCTATCGCTCTCATCACCATCACGGCCACCGGAAACATGTTCATCCCCGTGTGGACCTACTTCGTTGCCATCGGAACTGGCGCGATTCTCGTCGTTCCGCTTGGCTGGCTGTATGCGCTTAGCAATTTCCAGCTGGCTATTGGTACAGTCAATGAGCTGCTTTATGGATTGATGGTGAACTCAGTCAGTGGATTTAAGAACCCGACTGGTGCTTCGGCGTACGGTGCCATTGCCGGAAATGCATGGTACCGCGCGCAGCTCAACCTCCAGGATATGAAGGTTGGGCACTACATGCATCTGAGCCCCAAGGCTGTATTCTTCTCCCAGGTCTTTGGCTCGTTCCTGGGTGTTCCCATCAACTATGCTGTTGTTCGCTGGGTCTTGGACACCAAGTTCGATTACCTTACGGGAGCAAAGGAGGACCCCGCGCATCAGTGGACTGCCCAGTCTCTCACCTCCAACCTCACCATGGGTGTGCAATACGTCCTCATCGGTCCCCGAAGGCTCTTCCAGCAGCACATCTACAAGGTCCTCCCGTACGGCTTCCTCGTCGGCGCCTTCACTCCCCTTCTCATCTACGCTCTTCACCGCGCCTTCCCCCGCGCCAAGTTCCAATTGTGGAACTCGACCATCTTCTTCTCGGCCATGGCTAGCTTCTACGGTAACATCAGCACCGGATACGTGAGCAGCTTGATTGGTGGCTTCGTGGTCATGTTCTGGGCGTACCGCTACCGGTACGATATGTGGGCCAGATGGAACTATATCCTGGCTGCTGCTTTCGACGCAGGATTCAACTTCAACATGCTGCTTACTTTCCTCTTCTTCGGTGCTGGAAAGATCGTCACCATGCCGAATTGGTGGGGTAACGATGCAGCGAGTTCCGAGCGTTGCTTTGCCCTTGACTGAGCTTGCTTGATGGCGAGAAGTTCATCTTCTTGTGTGGGAAGGGATTGTTGTAAACTACCTACCATAAGCAGGAGGCTGTTGTGTTGAGGATAGCATATTTAACTAATTGAGATGAATACTTAATCGTACAAAAGTTGCTCACTGGCAGCCAAAGTGATCTCAAGGTACTCAATGGTGCACTAATACGCCAGGACTAAACGAGGGAGCCAAGAAATTCCTTCTGGAAACCTTCTCAAACGGCCTCATCCCCCCCCTTCCCCTCACCTTAGCGAACATTGCGGCAGCCTGACTGCCTCTCTCTCTCTCTCTTTCTTATTAAACACTTGCGCGATTTGATGCCTTAATATCGAATTACCGTGCGCTGATTTAGGCATTTGATCCATCCCGTTGCGACCATAGAGGCTGTGGCTGGCAAAGGTTCGCTCCCTTTCATGATCGCATCGGAGATGACAAAATGCTACTCTTGACTTGCATCCTTGCTTCCATCTCCGATAGCCAAAGACTCGCACGAGGTTGTAATTTGCTCATTTCAACACCTATAATCCTCGAAAGAACGCCGTCTTCGCTTTGACTTGGGAGTAGACTGTAGACACAACTCACCCACCCAGAAAAAACGAAGTCGATTTCTTCCACCGAGATCTCACGATGGACATGCCCAGCACTATGTCCCATTCTCATGGCACCGAGCCCATGCCAGTCGTCTTTCACACCAAGATGGCCACTGCGCTGTTTTCCGAATCATGGACACCGCGGACGCCAGGACAGTACGCCGGTACTTGCCTCGCTCTCATTGTCTTTACCATCATACTACGTACTCTGATTGCCTTCAAACCCATGCTAGAAGCGACAGTGTGGGCAGGGGAGTATGAGAAGAGCCACTCGAGAATTGTCGAGGAGACCGCGCGGAAAGAAAGGTTGTCTCCTCCTACAACAAGATCGATCCTTCTCAGAGTTGCGCATGGTGCCTACGAGGTTATCATTGCCCTTCTAGGGTATCTCTTGTAAGTGCTAGCCAATCCCTGCATCAAATAGGACAGCCTTAATAATGTTTGCAGAATGCTGGCGGTGATGTCGCTGAATCTGGGATATTTCTTGTCTATTCTTCTCGGTGTCTTTGTTGGAACGCTCTGTTTGGGTGGCATTGCGCGCAGCACAACATTTGATCATTGTTCTTGATAATATGAAGCTGGGAAATTCTATGAGTGTCTTCTAGTTGGTATTTTACTACGGTATCAGGCCAAAGTTTAACCCCCTTGTCGGGGATCTTCGCCTGTGCTTTTCGAGATTACATTAGCAGCATTACTTTCGAGATTCTTGTGCACGTCGAACACAAATTTGGCCATTGAGAGTCACTGCTCTACCCTAGCCAGACCCACGCTACCTGGTAGGGAGCTTTAACATACCCCTATAGACCAAGTATACTGGTCTGGCTCTTATCGCGTAGCAATATTGACCATAATCTGCGGGATTTACTCGTTGACCCATATACACTTGACTCAAAATACTGGGGGTTTCAAGCAGTCACCCTTGTTGTTGAGCTTCTGGTGATCATTGCCGTGACATCACATCAGCAACAATGCGTCTGTCTCCAATAATACCACGTCGGGCAGAGATCACGCCGGGTCTAGCCAAATGCGCCCTAGTTGAATACACCCTGTCGTGCCTGTCCAACATGCCCCGCCAATCCTTCTCAAGGCTCTACCCCTCCACCCCTCCAATGCTGTGTCATACCAAGTCGCATTCGCGACATGCCAGTCATCCGAGATGCTGTGCAAAAGCTGCAACGAGCTGGCAGATGGACGGAGTAAAGAAGCCGAGCGACATCCCGAACAGGCTCGCGGGCCATCATCAAGCCGCGTCCTCGTCCACCACGCGACGTGGGCCTCATTCGAAGATGCCGTCGCTGCTGGCTGCCACCTGTGTACCTCCATACATGAGGAACTGGTTGCAGAGCGTCTGATACCTGACAGCCAACCCGATACGGCGCGATTGTATGTGCAGGCTCACGCGCCTACAAGCATGCCAAGTGGCACCCTTGAGTTCTCGCCGTCCATGTAGGAAACCTGCTCTCGAGATACGCAAGTCGATATAAAAGCCACTGACTGCTCATATCCTTGATAGGGTCTGTCGAACCGGAGCTAGCTTTTACCTGTTGAGGAACCAAGGTTAGACACCATTTGAGTAGAGACGTTGAAGCTTCGAGTGAGTCAGTAACAGCGATCAGGCGATGAGCACGCGGAGTCTTTGCGCCTGGTGGAAGGTGACATAGTCCAGGAGGATAGAGTTCTCACCACTGCGAGAAATTGGCTTGGAGATTGCATTTCAAACCATGCAGACTATTGCGGGAAGGATACGAGTGGGTTTGTTCCGACGAGGCTGCTTGACCTTGGGAGCCCAGGAAGTGATGAAGTGCGGCTGTCAACGTCTGTTCCCACCCATGAGAAGTATGCCACTCTCAGTCATTGCTGGGGCAAGTCCCAGATCTTGACGTTGCGACGAGCCAATATGAAATCTTTTCGGGCTGGTATCCGAGTTGAAACGCTGCCCAAGACCTTTCGAGATACCATTTCCATCCTGAGGAAACTTGGACTGCGTTATCTCTGGATCGATTCCCTTTGTAAGTGGCGTTCTGTAAGTCTGATTGATGATCGGGACCTAGGCGACTGACGGCCATACGTAGGCATTATCCAAGATTCAGTTGACGACTGGCGAAAGGAGTCCATCACAATGGCTGAAGTCTATCGCAACGGCGTCATCAACATTGCCGCGACGGCTGCTTCTGGTGGAAATGATGGGCTTTATTTCAAACCTCACCCAATTCACTCCAGGCATCTTCGAATATCCTTCACTCGGCCCATTGAGGGCACTTCCCCCGAGGAAACGGGCAACGGGGAAAGATCAAATGTTGTGGAATTTGGAGATTACTTCCTTCTGAATAGCAAAATCTGGCAGCGTGGCGTCGAGGAGGCTCCTCTAAACACGCGCGGCTGGGTTCTACAGGAGCGCCTCTTCTCCCCGCGAGTTGTTCACTTTTCACGTCACCAGCTATTTTGGCAATGCGGCATGGACTACCGAATAGGACAGTTTGCGTACTCGAATGATCGTATTGGATCCTTTGGCAAGGCCTACACCAATCGTGATCCACGCGCATTTTCTCAAGTCCTTTGGCGTCTGAAAGGCATGGCAAAGGAGAAGAAGGATCCGTTCATCCTCGAAGAGGCGTACCTTCCTTGGGAAGAAGTCGTGACGACGTACACGGCGCAGCACTTGACCAAGGGCGAGGACAAGCTTATTGCAGTACAAGCGCTGGCGAAAGCTATGGAGGAGGCGGTAGACGATTGCTATGTCGCAGGACTGTGGGAGAGCCGGCTGGTTGAGGATTTGCTGTGGGTGTGTTCGGCGCCGGGTGAGAGGGCGACATACTCGCGTCAGACGGCGTGGCGCGCTCCTACGTGGAGCTGGGCTTCGATTGACGGCGGGGCGGTCAAGAAGGCAACGTTGACTGGGAGATATGCTGGGCGGAAAGTGTTTGAAGGAGAAGCTCTTGTCAAGAGTATTAAGCACTACGTGGAGGGGTATGACGGGGTGACGACGGGACAGCTCAAGAGTGCTCGTCTACAGCTCGAAGGTTGCCTTCTGAAGAGTGCCATATCCTGGGAAGGAGAAGCAGTGTTGAGCGACGGCCACATCAAGGGCATCGGAATGAGATCCCTCGATCCTAGAATTCGCACCTTCATTGTTTGTCCAGACGAGTGGACCTGGGATGGGAATGGCAAACCCAACTATCAACTGCCAGCAGGCAGCATCCTGCTTCCGATAGGAACCCATCCCGCCTACAAGGCTGCTGGAACGGACCCGAGTCCGTGTATTGAAGGCTTGGTATTGCACGATGCCGGTCGGAAAGGAAGTCTATCGTTCCATCGCGCAGGCTACTTCAAGCTGGTCGCGGAAGGAACCATCATCAACGCTTGTTTGGCAGGGAAAGCAGGAGCATTGTTTGCGAGGCACGAGAGCGCGTCTGGCGATGGAACTTGTGCTTTGAACTTGTTCTAATCCGGGGACTGTGCCGCGTGGCTTATTGAAAGTATGTACAGGAAGGAAATGTGACCGTGAACTGGTCACAAGAAGACACAGTAGTCTTCAAAAATACCACTCCGATGATGAGGCTTGCCAGCCTTTGAAAACTCAATGATGAACACATGTAACCTAGGCCGTAGCCTAACGCCAAACACCGCCCAATGCTACCCTTGAGTCAGACAAGCAGGCGTCGGGACATCAGTTCCAGTGCCCGCCTTGGGGGAGAAAGACAAAGAAGAAGACACAAGACCTAGAAGACTAGGCATAGTGTGCGAGGGGAGCATCCCTCTTGCCCATGCGGCGCATCATACCGCGAAGGGGACCGACGTTGGCGTCGACGAGCGTGTTGACCCAGACATTATCCTTGGTCTCCTCGCTCTGACACTCAACGCTGGCGGCGCCAAGAAGAAGAGGCTTCATGTTGCCGTAGATGGTCTCGTACTGGCCGGCGTTGGTAACGAAGCTCTCGTGGTAGATGCCAATGTGGTTGTACTGCTGCTTGATGCCGTTGTACCAGTCCCAGCCCTTGCGGTGGATGGGGTCGTGAGCGAACTTGTTGAGGCCCTCGACGTCGCGGAAGTAGTAGATGTTGAGCAGGGAGTTGTTGCGCGGGCCGTCGGCGCCGAGCCAGTTGGAGACGTGGTAGAGGCCGTACTCGGAAGCGCGTTGGGCGAGGTCCTTGTTCATCTCCCGGAAGTATTGGCCGATCTCGCGACCGCCAGGGCAGAGGAGGCCCATGGGATGGTTGAAGCGGACACCGAGGTGGAAGACGACGAGGGACTGGGAGGCGGCGACAGCGGGGATGGCGCCAGTGGAGGGATCGGGGAACTGAGCGCTGGTGCGACCGCGGACGACACCCTTCATGAAGGGGTTGGACTTCTCGGAGCGAGTATCGAGGATGGTCGAGACAATAGAGCTGAGACCCATGGCCAAAGCCGGAATGACGGCGTACTTGGCGGGAATGGTGGAGAAGAGGAAGCACTGCATCAAGGCGCCGATGGCTAAGAGGGTAGAGAGGTTGAAGCCATCCTTGATGAGCAGCTGAAAATACAAAGTCATTAGTATTTGCTTTAGTGTGACGTAACACTCGGGTGTGATAATGAAGAAGAACTCACAGGAAGATGGTTGTACGGCTTGGTCCACTGGGGAGACTCGGTCGGCTTGAATATGCCGTGGAACCGCTCAGCGGTCTGGTACTCGGTAGCGGTGTCCATTGCAGGCTTGGATAATTCGAGCGACGAGATGTGTATTCAAAGGCGGTTCGTGAATACAAGTGCGATGAGAGAAAGAATTGGGGGATAAGTGTGAATATGAGTGCGAATAGAGTGTGAGTTTGAAGATGAGGCGTAACGGTCGAGAGTGACGATGAGGATGAGGTTGAAGCTGTCGTGGAACTGTGTGATTCGAACAAGGTTGAAGGGTTGAAGGAGGGAAAGAAGAGGCCGGTCCCTTGGTTTAATATCTCGTCAAAGAAAAGAGAAGCCTGGAAAAAGGTCGTTCGTTAGCGCCTTTTGACTCCTTCCAATACAGCCGTTGACAAGCCTAGGTTGAACACACCAGAGGCCAAAGGTGAATGAGTGAGAGAGTGAATCACTTGAACCCTTGTCTGAATATCGTGGTTTGGTGGGGAAGAATGAATTGAAAGCTTCAGGCCCGAGTCCCGGCTACGTGGATCACCTGGATTTAGAGTGGAAAAAAGAAGCGAATGCGCAGCGGCGCTAGATGATTAGATCGGGACAACAGGCGAGATGGGCACGCGTGTTTGGCGATGGCGGTCGATGAAGGGCCCTAGGTCGTAGACTAACATACGAGAGCGGGTTAGCCTGGGAATCATGAGCGGAGCATCTTGAGTCCTTTTACATGGGGATAGGTACTTGTACCTGCAAGAGACACTCACTCGTTCTCTTACTGAGAAACAATACTAGAGTACTCCGTACTTGGTACGAATAAAGCCACACGGAACGGAAGCTAGAGTACGCCAAGCGAAGAGGAGGAACAACCTTGTCACCGATGAGCCGGGACAATTGACGGCTTTGGGGGAGCAGTTTGGGAGGGTCTGACAGCTTTAGTGCGAGATGACGAATGCCGCTCTTCGCACT